GTTAGAATTCTAGCTCTTTCGGAGGAAAAAGTGTTGCCAAATTTATACCGTCCGTTATTTCATATGTGACGACAAGTCGAACCAAAACAAAATACTTTTTCTTCCTTAGCTGGGGGAAAAATCTGCACGAATCGAATTTTTTGAGGTATGTATCGAGAGAGAATTTGATTTGGTTAGACAATGAGTAATTGGCAAACAAGGATCTGGAATCTTTATAATCCTCACTGCTTAACTTTCAGTGGAGAGCAACAAAAGTCCACAGACCGCCTAATTGACACCAATGAGTAAAATCTCCTTGTGCAGTAAGGGTCGGAGAAGGGCAATCACTCATTCTTAAAATCAGCGTTCTTAAGACTGTAGTTCAGAGGATTAGAGCACGTGGCTATGAACCACGGTGTCGGTCTGGATCTATTATTTATTCAATGAAAACTATTTTTGGCTATTCTCTAGTACAGGTGGATACGTAGAGAATACCAAAGGGTGCAAGACAACTCTCTCTAAGGAACTTGGCAAAATAGCCTCGTAACTTCAAAAGGGATGCCTCCTCACAAAGGGGGAAAAGACAAAAGAAATTTCATTGAAATCTTCTTTTTTTTTAACTCAAAAAATTTCAATTTAACAATGAAAAAAGGAAGGCTTTTTCTTCTTCTCTCAAGTTAAGTAAAAAAATAAATTTGAAGAGGTGTTCCAGAAATGTCTGCGATCGAGTAAATAGTTCTACGAACGTCGTGGTGGTCCCCCCGAACCGCCCGGATCCCACGAGTGAATCGAAAAGACAAAAAAATTTCAGGATAACAAACATTATCTAGAATTTCTCTTAGATTCGAACCCAAAAATGAAGTAAAGGCTCCGGTGTATAGAGAAGACCTCATTATTTAAGAAGTAGTCTACTGGAATTGACTCTGTATTAATGGAATCTCATCATCCATACATAACAATTGGTTATTAATGACTGGACGAAACCAAGAAATCACCCCTCACGTGTGAAATTATAGAAGATCTCCTTTAAGAGTTTTGAACAAAGAACTATCGAGGGTGCAAATCCCTCTCTCTCCTTTTTTCCCCTCATTGAATAGATTTGTTTCTTGTTAATGGTTCATTAAATTGGATGAATTCACCCTCTGAAACAAGTTCTGGTCCTGAAGGGATAATATCAACCACTTGACGTCGGTATCCCCTTTCCCAATTATCATTGTGAAAGAAAGAAGGGGGCTTGACTAGGGGTTGCCGAAAAGAAAGAATTTAGTTTTTCCCACAAATCAATTAGTTCTGTCAAGCTAGCTATATGTTGTGTATTATCAACGATTTCTACATAATGTGGTAAGATGATATCTTGAGCAGTTACACGACGTTCTGAACCCAACTCACGTACCTCTTTAATGGGTGAATAGCCCAACCCTTGGAACATACTACAGCCCTAGTGGCGAAGAGCTGGCATCGAGGTGCCAAAACTTCCCGTCGATGTAAGTTAAGAAATCAAATAATGGTTTATTACGGGGCATATCTCATTTCAAGATTCAGCAACTGACTTGACTGGAATCCTATTTTGAGTCTACTCATTTTTATTTCTTTTTATTTCGATTTTATTTAGTTAGTATAACTCTAACTACTCCTTTATATAAATTCTCTTGTTTTCACCTAGGATTCTTGCTAAAGAAACCTAGTTCTGGTTATCCAGTTACAGAAGCGACCCCATAGGCTTTCGCTTTCGTGTCTCTCAAAAATAGCAGTCATGGTAAAATCTTGATTTATTTAATTATCAGGGACTCCTAAGCATGGACACTGTTCATTTCAATTTTTTCGTATTTTGACTTGCTTATGATCAATTGCACTTAAATAATGCTTGTATCTGTATTCTTCAATTTACTCAATCAAAGTAAACTAATTATATGCTATACTTTTGATTGTCATATTTTATGTCGAACATATTAAAGTCTATAAATTGACAAATTAACTGTTGATAATTAACTTTAATATTTCCTTTTGGGACATCTAATAAAATTGAAATGGTTGATTAGTGCTTTAAGTAGATTACTAACGAAGACATACCTTGTATGGTATGGATTTGCAAATTTTACACGAACCTATAAAATCTATCAATTTTATGGTACGTTGTATTGAGGAATGGTGTTAAATATGACTAACAAGAAAAAAATTAATAAAATTTTTCAATGCTTAATCTATAACTAGACGAGCATTATCATAGAGAGATCAACAACTTTTGCTAAGATTTTTTAACTTAAAAGCAAACATGCGTGAATGCATTGCAGCGTTTGGAAGCGGTATATGAATTGTGCGTAAAACTCTCCTCGACCTCGACACCAAACAAGGCCTTGCGAACACCTCAAGCACAAAATCAAAAGGAATGGACTAAGATAACAATGCCAATTTGTTTTTGCTGGGTTTGAAAAAATCGACCTACATTCTCATTTGAGCTCCACTAGGACGCATGCATTTTACTGCAATAATTTCTGAGATCAAATGGTTACTAGTTCAGGAATGCAACAAATTAGAGACAAGGTTCCATTATCTCACTCTTAATAATCCAATCTCATGATAAGGATACTATACGAAAAAGAATATCTATCGATGAACCATACTCAAATTGCCAAATATATATATCACTCAATTCTAGACTCAAAAGAGAGAACAAATCTCTCTTATCTTGAAAGTAAGGCTAAATATACCTGCAACCAAGGAGAGAGAAAAGATGGAGGGAGAGCTTTTAAGAGTGCAAGTAAAATATTTGTTCAAACCTTATGAGATTGGGGGTCAATGGTGTAACAAGACATTTTTCAATGTTGAGTCAAAAGGTAAGTTGTAATTTTTTTTGGAAACGATGTAACGCTAATAGTGGTCGAGACTTTAGAGATGAGAATAGAGGTGTTCTGGTGGCAAAATATTTATGATCGCCGTCAGTATCGACAAGTTAATTAGTGGATGGAGATTAAATTCTGATGAAATTGACCAATCCTTAATATTTGAGAGGAATGAGAAATCAACGGTTGATTTCAAATCGGGTCTTTAAGGAAAAAGTTGCGCACAAAGAAGTAATAAAAATTCAAAATTTGAAAAAAAATTGAAAATAAAATTAAAAAAATAAAAATTCAAATTTTCTACGGTGTCAGTGAACCCCATATGAACCCATGTTGCTCCATCACTAGGTTATTCATCTTTCCAATCACCTTCCATGATCAAATGAGTAGATAAGTATGACAATGGAGTGGGATATTTTGTCTCTTTTGAATAGTTCCAAATGATGGTTTTCATAAATGGATCTTTAGTCCAATGTTACGAAGTCCATTAATTATAATTTTACTATGTACTCACACCGTTTTGTCTTAAAATTAGTTGGACAATAATGGAGGTTTAGAGCTTCAACCATTCATTTTATGAAAGAAATGAGATCATTTGCAAGTTGGATTAATATATGTTTTGATGTGTCAAATGAGTGTCTAGTTATTATTTCAAATAAAAATAGCCCTTGTTTAACGAGATCTTTGAAAATTAAATATTTGACATGTAAATGGTTAAAATTTGAGTTCGGATAAATTTGGTATCAAAGACTTGATATCCTTGATACCAGAATACAATGGGACTTCGCTCCAATATTTGTTTGTCAGTCGGAAATAAATATAAAAAGAATGTATGAAACAATATTCAAAACATTATGATAATGAGATTTTTTTCGTGTTAAATATTTATTTTTCAACATTTTCTTTCCACGTGCATTTTATTGTTTTAAATCATAAATAGACACTAATTTGACACATCTAGTCGTATAATAATCCAACTCGTACAAGATTTCATCCATGTTGAATTCAATTGGTTGAAGCTCAAAAGCTCCATTATTGCCTACCTAAATTTTAAAGCAAAAACTGGTGGTTCAGTTACAGAACCCCTTGGCAATGTTTGGGAAATCTAGAATTTAAAGGGTACAAAGTACATTATAGGAAAGGACTTACACAAGAATGTCATTTCAAATATGTAACAGAAACATGGATAGAAGATAACTAGCCGGGACGTTTCATACCGAGTCCTCAAACTTTGGAAACACGACACTTAAGTTCCCATTCTTCTCTTTTAAAAATATAATATATGAGCTCAAACTTTCGTTCTCCATCAATATTGCCATCAAAGTAGCTTGTTACAATACACGGATTATCATAAATACTATCATAACTATAAACCACGTTCATTGCACGTCATGTTTTGAGTGCATATTAATGAATTTTGCTCATTAAGAACTCAAATGGATTGAATAAAAAGTTCATTGTTCGTAAAAAAAATAAAAATAAAATTAGAATCACAACAAAAGTACTTGAATTGCAAAGTTTGAAAATTTGCATGCAATTTTCCCTTTAAAAGCACAATCAACAACTCGAAAAATCTGCAAGCAAGTTTCCTTTGAAAAGCAAAAGCAACAACTTGTTTACTCTAACATAGTAACACTTCACGTAGTAGAACAAAAACAATCAATGATTCCACATTTCAAATCTTGCACGGTTTATTTGAAACTTGTTAACGTTACTTACTAAAATGTGACATATGCATCATATTCAATTGCCTAATTCATCGTCTTCACTTGAAGGCGACAACTGGCAAATAAGTAACACCTTATAATCGTGTTTTGACTACGGAATTAATGTTTCCATTTGTTTAATGGAGTACAAAAATGAACTAAAAATAAGCATTTGGAAATACAAAACGCAATAAACTTGAGTTGGGACAAAAGTACCTAATTTTACAAAGTTAGACAACCCATACATAAATTTTACTTAAAAACCGAATCAACAACTTCTACGCAATGATATATCACGTAGTGTCACGGAACCAATCACATCATTCCACGTCACGAATACATAAAACGTGATTACAATCGCTCACTCTGAGCGTGACACAACTTTTTGGGGGCCTTGTCCAAAAAGTCGCGTTCTTTTATTCGAGGATGAGTCCAAGTGTATCACGTCTCTCTCTCTCTCTAAACGAGCCGCCCTTGTCTGCCTCAAAAAAACGCGACTCTCTTTCTCTCTCTAGATAGCCGAAATCCAAAAACGGATCCGAAACAAAATCTGGCCCTCAAAATTTTAAAAACTCACAATTTTACCCCCAAACAGAAAAAAACCCTAACCCTAGCCGCCCCTGTACCAGAACACAGACAAACAGGAATTTGTATAATCTTTGTGCATTTCTATCGTTTCTTGATGAATATTTTGGTTTCTGGAGAGGAGGAATTGAATCTGTTGGTTTAATTTTGATTTGCTTTCATAGGATTAGGTTAGGGTTTGTAGAAAATGGAATGCTGCGGGGTTGGTGGTGATGGAAGTTGGTTTTGGAGGCGATGACTGACGGTGGCGGCAGATGTCAGAGGCGAAGGAAAACCATGGCTGGTGGTAGGGGTGCCCAAGCCACCACCGAATCGAAAAAACAAGATAGTAAAAATTGCCCTAATTTGGTACCAAAATTTACCGAAAAGCCCTCGAGTCCCAAGAAAATTAGGAAACTACACCCGTCCCCCATAATTGAATCAGATTTCTACACTCAAGCTCTTAAAGCTCTCTCTTTCCGCTCTCCCTTTGATTCTGAGGTCTATCAGGCTCCTTTAGCTTCTATCTCGGGTGCTAATACTCTTCCCAGTGGGGTGTCTCATTTCTTAAACAGACACTGGGATAGCCGGAAAAGGCAAAAGAAGTCTCAATTGGGTTCGGAAAAGAAGTCGTCCTTCTCGGGGAGGCCGCGTGGAGTTAACTTTTGGATTGAGACCGAGGAGTATTTTCGTGAACTGAATGTGGAGGACGTCGAGAGGCTCCACGAGGTTTCAAATGTCAGGTTTTCTGGCGACGAGAAGTTCTTCTTTGTTCCTTCTTTGTATAGTAATGACAGTGTGCGCACTCGATATGAAATTTACAACGGTATGCTTGCAAGTGCTTGTCAAAATAATAGTTCTAGTTCAGCAAATGGATATGAAATGGATCATGATGGAAAGGATGAGGTTGAAGGAATAGTGAAAGCGGAGAATGATCCAAATATTGTGGATGTCAATAGTGTTGGTGGAGAAAATACTGAGTCCACTAGTAAAGAAGAAAAAGGAGACAATAGTGAAAAGGATTTTTCATCTTTTAGTGGAATAGAATGGCTTTTAGGATCTACTAGTAAGATTTATTTGGCTTCGGAGCGGCCCTCTAAGAAACGGAAGCTTTTAGGCAGAGATGCAGGGTTGGAGAAGCTTCTTGTGGCTCATCCGGTTGAAGGGTCTGATTCATTATGTCATTATTGTAGTTTTGGCGACACAGGCAACCAGTTGAATTGCTTGATTAAGTGTAGTTCTTGTGCCATGGTGGTCCATCAGAGGTGTTATGGTGTTCAGGAAGATGTTGATAGTTCTTGGTTGTGTGCATGGTGTAAGTGGAAGAATGAGGTGGGGGTCAGTAGTGAGAGGCCGTGTTTGCTTTGTTCAAAGCAAGGTGGTGCTTTGAAGCCTGTGCAAAAACGAGGCTTCACTAGTGAGAGCGGGGGGTCCGAGTTTCAGTTTGCTCACTTGTTTTGTTGCCAGTGGATGCCTGAGTTTTATTTGGAGAACACTAGGACAATGGAGCCAATATTGAATCTTGATGAATTGAAGGACACTCGAAGGAAGTTAATTTGTTATTTGTGCAAGGTTAAGTGTGGTGCCTGTGTTCGGTGCAGTAATGGTATGTCTTGCTGCTTTCATTATGTTACAACACACTACATTTCTTTGCTGGATGGCAGGACAGAAGAATGTTGTTTTAATTGGAATTTATTATTATTTGATATAATTTGAAATGTACTGCCTAGGTGCTATGTTGACCTCTTGATCCTGTGTTTTTCACAGTTCATGAATTTGATATTTTTGAGAGATCTGGCTTACTATTTGTAAAACCATTCTGTAAAGGTGGACATCATAAGAAGATACAAGTTGATAAAAAAATCTGTTTATTCTGTCAAATTTTCACTATATCTTCTGCCATCCAAATCTTTTCCTTTCAATTTCCTAAAATAAATTATGCAACATTGACTTAAAAATGAGTTTAAGTGCAAATTAATGAAAATTCATGCCTTTTTAACCACCTGTAACAGTTGGCGACTGATTTTACCTGCAATTTCTGCTGACTTATATTGTTTAATGTTTAATACTTGACTTTCTGTATATTAAGAAATGCTTCTGATGTTAGGTTTTAGATGCCTAAGGCTCTACCACTTTGGTTTGGCTTTTTCTCATTTTCCTAAAGTTCAGTCCGTCCTCAATCTATATGCACCCCGGACTCCTTTCTGTCCAATTTCATTTTAAGATTGACAGATAAATGTGGGTTTCAAAAGAATATTCACTATGCTTTCTGAAAGTAAGAGTGCGAATAACTTATGGAATTGTTTATTAAATTTAAATGGATTGTTTACCATACTAGTCAGTATGCCCTTTCCACGCAGTGGAATTAGTTGACTATGCAGTGATGACATTCCTGGGGCAACTTCAAATAACGAACTACGCCATATTCTTGGACTTTTGGTGGTACTATTATGCACCTCTTGTAACCAGCAAAATTAGGATCAAATACGAGATACATATCAATGAGGAAGATCCTTACTTTTTGAAAAATTTTAAATTCTTCAATAAACCTCCCTGTATATTTTTATCGGAAGGATCAATTTTTGTATGGTTGTGTTATCGGGAGATTTTCACAATCTCATTCTTTAAAAGAACGTGTAAGTTTTGTTTCTTGTTATCGAGGTTATGTTATTTTTTTGTATGCCGGTATTTCGAAGATTACATTATTCAGGACTTTCCAAATTATGCAGGTTTTTCCTCTACAGCCATTTTGTTAGAAAGTCATGCATAACTAATCAATTAGAATTTGTACTCAATTATAGCTAATAGGTTATTCCTTTTAACTCATGGCTTGCTTTGATTTTTGTCGTAGTTAGGTTAAATTTTGTCGTAACAGTTATATGATGATTGTATTTTAATGTTGCAGAATTGCAGATTATTTTTTCCTTTATCCATCTAAATTTGCGTGAAATGGTTCTATGGTGACTGAATTTTATAATTGCTCAATAGGAGAATATATTTTTCTGTTTGCTTCATTCTCCAAAATGGTTTCTTCTTTTTGTTTGCTTTTTGGATTTTGGATACAAATTAATTTAGGAATTCAAATTGCAGTTGGCAATATACAGATTGGTAAAGGTTCTGTTAAATTGGAGTTCCCAAGTGGAAGGTTTGATGATATCTAATGAGGATTCTGAATGGTCTTTGTTAATATTACTATGATTATAGTCTATAGGATAAAATATATATTAGGGGCACAGCCATTTGTATGAACAAAGGTGAGTCGACTTATCAATTCGATGGAAGTTGAGAAGCTAGAGAATGAATGGGTTATATTTTAATTGCAGTTAGTATTCCATTTTTACACCAAATGCAAAATTTAAGTTAAGCTGGATGGAATGCATTCTGTTCTCTCCTGAAATTAAAGGAATATCTGTTTTCTGACCATGGAAATGGATTCTGTTTCTTGGATTAAATTAAGCTCCTTCATTCTTGTTTGTTGCAAGCTATTTTATGATCTTGAAGCGATTGTAAAGCACTATATTATCAAAATAATGAGTCTACTTGTTGTAGTTTATCAGAATACTTATATTGTCATTGAAAAAAAAAAGAAAAAAGTGTCTTGAGAGATTTGACTCAAAACTTTATGGTTTTACTTGAGCAACCATCCAAATACTTGGTGAAGTTTAAGGAATCAATGGTGCTTTTAGGAATGTAGATTTTGCCAATTTCTTTCTCGTGTGATATCCAGAGAGTTGAATTAAACTTCAAAGAATGAAAATTTTTTATCGATAGACCCCAACAAATGGGGACTTCTTTCAATTTATATTGTATCTTGTTTTATTATTTTCCTCTCTCTTTGCTGTGGGTTATTCATTGGTGTTGCTGTGTCTTTGCCAGAGATCAGCTAGTATGCGGAATTTATTTCTGTCTGGGCATCAGTGGTTGTTTGACATCATCTTATGTGGAACAACTTTATAATTTTAAATTGCAATGCTGGTATCATTTATTCACCCCTTCTTTTCTAGGGGATCAAAAGTTTGTAAATAACCTGAGTTTAGTCTGCCGTAGTGGAAGATATATGTTTCATTTGTTGTTAGCGAATTTTTACTTGTTGCTGATTACGATTTTATTTGGCGTTTCCTAGGAGCTTGTAGAACTTCTTTCCATCCTATATGTGCAAGGGAGGCAAGACACAGAATGGAGATATGGGGTAAACTTGGATTTGATGAGGTGTGCTAATTTTTATGGTTATTGTAGTAGTCATAAACGGACAATAGCTATTGATACCGTTATCTTCAGAGGAACTATGATTATTATAATTTTGTTGATGTTATATTGTTAATTTTAAAATGCTTTCTTTTGTTGCTAAACCTCTTTTTCCTTACCTGCTTCATGTTGTCAGAAATTCTATTCAATGTTTACTATCGTCCTTTGATAATATTTTCTTCACTGCCTATATCTTTTAGGTTGAATTGCGTGCATTTTGCTCGAAGCATTCAGATGTTCAGAATGACAGTGGAGCTCAACAGACTGGAGATGTTTCGTTGGCAGTTGATTCTGTCTGCAACGTCAATATGCATCAACAGATGGCATCGATAGCAAATGAGCCTCACAAGTTAAAAATTAGCCAAAGTAATAGTGCTAAATTGGCCGTTCACGTTAGAACATCTGATGCGGATCTCGGCAAGCTGGATGGTAATATACTGCACGAAGAATTGTTAGATAATAGGTCAAATGCCAAATCTCAGCCAGAAAGTGGGGATGCACAACACCCTATAGATAATGATCCATTGGCTAGGATCGAAAATGAAGATGTCAATGCTAGTGATTCTCTGAATTTTATCAGGATATTGAAGAAGGTATTCTGAAATTGTGAGTATATAAGCACTGAAAGCTGGACATTTTTTGTTTTTGTTTTTTTTTGTTTTAGTGATTTTATCTACTTGTTTTTCATGCAGTTAACCGATCTGGGCAAAGTTGATGTAAGAAACGTGGCTTCAGAGATTGGTGTATCGCCTGATTTATTGAGCAAAATATTCATTGTAATGTGCATTTTCATCAATTTTTTTTTTTTTGGGTGAATACCCTATCCATGTTGATTGATGCTGGCTTGATCATTTTTTTTTTAATCTTAGAAACTTGAAAAGAAAAATATGATTTGTGTTTGGAGTTGCTGCATTCCAACTGCCTTTTCCTTTGTTCAGGATAATCACATTGTTCCTGAGTTGCACTGTAAAGTAATAAAATGGATGAGAAATCATGCCTATATTAGCAGCTTTCAGAGAACTCTGAAAGTCCCTGTTAAATCCGTTCCACCTCGAAGACGAACCAAAAGCAATTTTCGGATTGTGAATGATGAGAAGCTAAGCTTTTCTAAGGAAAAGATTAACGACGATGGAATAATAATGGCTGGTGTGGAAAATGGCCTTCTTGATGGGGAAGACTCTATTGGTCCAGGCCTGGAGTCTGTTCTTGATGGAACCAAGAAGGTATTTGTCTTACTGGATTTTATGTTTGTTTTTGTGATGGAGCTTTTAGATAAATCGAAGTTAGCATTGTTCAGGTTTAGCCATTGTGTAAGTCTAACGACCATGGATTTGCTTATGGTAGTCTTTCAAAGGCTTTCCTATTTTCGGATAATGGTAGAAATGGTTAACCTGCAAATGGCTATTTTTAACAATAATCTGCTCCTCTCTTATCTATTGATATCTTAATATTACTAAACATTATAACTTTAATTTTAAAGTAAATTGGATGGTTTGATTTTGTGCTCCACTGGACTTTTTGCTACTTCAAGCCACTTATTTTTTTATTTTCTCATGGCATTAGTCCTTTTTGTGATATTGAAGTTCAGCCAGAACAGTAGAACTGTATTTTTTTTAATTGAAATACAAATAGGTTGTTGGAAATTCCGTGTAAAATAATCTTGTTGACTCCAAAAGTTCAAAAATGAATGGTAACTATTTGTGGTTTTAGTTAAAGAATGTAAAAAATCATTGTCAATTGTCATTCTTATACCAAACCCATGCTTGTCATTTCAATTGCTTCTAAGTTGTCCAGTGTTGTATTCTACATGTTATGCAGATCACAGTTATTCCAGTGCAGGACCAAGACAATCCAGCAAATGGTTCTCTTAAAATTGAAGGTGGTTGGTCTGGTCACCCTGTAATGTTGTTCTCTGGTTTTATGGATATCCATTTTACGCATTTAATTTTAAGCTTTTACCTATTTGAAGTGTTCTTTGCTTTATTATGTCTCTGTAATAAGTGGAATGACCCCAAAAGGAATGAAAAATAATAATGTAAAGTATTGATATGAAGACAGCAATGAAACATTGATGCATTTCCTTGCCAGGAATCCTTTGTCTGCAAAACTATCCAAGTGCAACAGAACTTGATGAAATTTCAATGAAAAGGCCTACTTTCTTCTTGAATTGTTGAAATTTTTATGGAAAAATTACATAAATTTAATGAAATGCAAGGACCCTATTATCTGCAAAACTAGCATAATGAAATATAACTCATTGAAATTTCAATTAAAAGGCTGTACTTTCTTCTTGAATTGTTGATTATTTTATTTTATTTTATTTTTTTTGGGAAAAATTACATAAGATTTAATTAAACGTATGACGTGTTTCATTTACAAAACCAGGTTATTGTGAACAGTGTTAGGACATTGGCATATGAGTTGTATTTTACTATTTTTCTCTATTCTGAATTTTCAAATGTATGATAAAGTAAGTACTTTTATTTCGAGTCCCAATATTTTGGGTTGGTGTAATGGAGAATAAGATTGAAAAGTAGAATGGCCTTTTGAAGTGTAGAAATTTTTTTGGGATGCATAAAAAGGTGAAGCATGGAAAATTTGATTGTTCAGAGGGAATATCCCAATATTTGCTATTTTTGTTTGGTAGTATATCACATCATGGAGTTCGGTTTAGGCAGGAGGTTTGCTTCCACGTTTCATTTAATTTTTTTATGGCTTTTCATACTTTCATTTTCCACATGCACAGATGAGCCGTCAAAAGCTTTGACCCAAATTCTTACTGATGATTGTCATGTTGGGGGGCCCTCAGCAACTGAGCAGAATACTCTTGCAAGTTCTGATACGGAGAATAATCGTTCAATCTTGCTGATGTAAGTTTTACAACGTGATTGTTAGTTGTTGTATTGAAGTATTGATCTAGAAGAGGATTTTGCATTCTCTGTGGTCGCCAATAGCCTTTTCCTTTCCTTTTTTTTCCTGTAAGCTACATGATTGTCATGTTGGGGGGCCCTCAGCAACTGAGCAGAATACTCTTGCAAGTTCTGATACGGAGAATAATCGTTCAATCTTGCCGATGTAAGTTTTACAACGTGATTGTTAGTTGTTGTATTGAAGTATTGATCTAGAAGAGGATTTTGCATTCTCTGTGGTCGCCAATAGCCTTTTCCTTTCCTTTTTTTTCCTGTAAGCTAACAATATTGGTGATTTAGTGAGAAAAAACTGACAATTTCAGTTCTCGTCTTGTAGAAATTGGGAAGCTATGTCCAATTCTTACATACACCCATTTATATACGGCAAATTGATGCAAATAAAAAAGGGGTTGCTATCCCAAGCTGCACTTAATGAGTCTGATTGTAAGATCCCATCTGTTGCTCATTTGGTATATCTTTGTTGGTGTTGGGTGGTTACTTACTTAATTTGGCAGGGTTAGGAGAAAGAGAAGTTCCACAGTTAGAAGCATCATCTAGTTCAGGCCTTTGTTGTAATAATCACAATCTACATTCAACTTGTGGCGATCAGCCTATCAAGTGCGATGGAGTAAATCTTGATCAGTTGGTCAAGGCGAGAAATGTGGGTCTCCTAAAACTGTCTCCAGAAGATGAAGTGGAAGGAGAACTTATCTATCATCAGCACGGACTTCTTTGCAATGCTGTTGCCAGGAAACACTTTAGTGGTCAGTACTTTGTCCTGTTTTAACATGTATCTATTAATTTGGGTGCTGCTCCGTTTTAGATTGCAGATTTGCATATTGTGCATTTTTTGTTGGATAAGTGTCGTAGCTTGTTGTTTCTTATCGTATCACTTTTTGTGCGTTGCTACTTTCTGAGCAGATGATTTGATACGTAAGGTTGTTAGGAGTCTTCCACAGGAGATTGATGCAGCAGGAAAACGAAAATGGGATGATGTGTGCGCTAGTCAGTATCACTATGAGCTTAGGGAAGCAAAAAAACTGGGAAGAAAAGAAAGACGGCATAAGGAAGCTCAGGCTGTATTGGCTGCTGCAACAGCTGCAGCTGCAGCTTCCTCTAGGTTATCATCTATTAGAAAAGATGCCCTAGAAGAACCTGCACAGCAGCAGGTATTATTTCTGCCTGTGCTTCAGTGAAGCATGATATAAATGTTTATTTCTATTTTTTCATTAATTTATTTGTACAAATTTTTTGGCAGGATCTTCTGAAGATGAGTGCATCTTATGGAAGGTCCACGTTATACTCTCAGCTGAATCCTCGAGTGAAAGAGATTTTTTCAAGATCCGCTGTTGCAAGGCCATCATCAGATACGAACTCTGATATTTTTCAGTCAGCTCCAGACTTTTCCAGAGAACATCCTCGGACGTGTGACATCTGCAGTCGGTCTGAGACATTTCTCAATCCTATTCTAGTCTGTTCGAAATGCAAGGTTTACTCTTAACACATCATACTTACAATATTGATACTTGTTCTTATTTCTTATTTATCATGCATAATTCTTTTTTTTTTGTCTGACAGGTTGCAGTTCACTTAGATTGTTATTGTAGCATCAAAAGCTCAACGGGGCCATGGCATTGTGAATTATGTGAGAACTTGTTTTCTTCTCGAAGCTCTGGACCTGCAAGTGCTAATTCCTGGGAGAAGCCTTACTTTGTTGCCGAATGTGGTTTATGTGGTGGGACTGCAGGTGCTTTTAGAAAGTCAGTTGATGGTCAATGGATTCACGCGTTCTGTGCTGAAGTAAATAATCCTCTTTCATCTTTTGCTACTCATTCACCACCATCTCGCAATGTCATCCTCTTTTCATTTTCATCAAGTGTTTGTTTTACTTTTCTCATGATAGTGGGTGTTAGATTCAACATTTAGAAGGGGTCAAGTAAATCCTATCGAGGGAATGGTGAGTGAATCTATAATTTGAAACACTTTTGTACTTGTGATCCTATACTGTTTATCTGATATTTATTACTGTCATTTGTTCTGTTATATACCAGGAGACAGTGTGCAAGGGGAGTGAACGGTGCATTGTGTGCCTTCGGAAACATGGTGTCTGCCTTAAGGTGAAGATTTTTAAGAGTTGTGGTTTGCCTTTCTAATTTTTTGTTCAGCCTCTCTCTCTCTAAACTTTATTTATTATTGTAAATGTTCAGTGTAGTTACGGTCACTGTCAGAGCACATTCCATCCTACTTGTGCTAGAAGTGCTGGTTTCTACATGAATGTGAGGACTGATGGAGGCAAGTTGCAGCACAAGGCTTATTGTGAAAAACATAGCATGGAACAGAGATCGAAGGTTGATATTATTTCTTCTTTGCCTTAGTTATTTGTTCTGATTGTTTCTTTATTAATCTAACATTGATTGTTTTTACTTGATATACTCATGCAGGCTGACATTCAGAGGTATGGAGTTGAAGAATTTAAGGGTCTTAAACAAATCAGGGTATGTGATCGTAACTACGTACATATTATAATCTGTAACAAAGCATTTTGGTGCAAGTTGTGTATACTCACTGGTACTGCATATTGGTTTATATTTTGCTTGTCTTAATTATTTATCTTCCCAAAAATGCGTCTGTATAAACTTGCCAAGTCTATCTCCAGATATGTTGACTGGATTTTATGACAAAGCAATAAAGTGCAGCCATAGTTATAATAAACGGCCGGTCTTGCTGGAAAGCAGTTAACCGAACTTGGCATGGTCCTATTACGCTTCTGGACCTGTTCACAATCGAACGGACCAAGAACACTCCTACCTATTCCCGATCCTATTTACTCTCTTGGACCCATGAACAATAGAACTGTCCAAAAATAGTTTGACCTAGCTGATTACTGTGTAAACCACTGACTGGTTCTTTCATAATTTCGAATGACTATTGCTGGTTATTATAAAAATTTCTCTAGTTTTTAATTAATAAATAACTACCATATGATTTATCGTTCCATACATAAACGAAATATTTCAATTATTTTAAATTAATAAATAACTACCGTATGATTTTCTAATATGTAGAGAAACGGATTGTAGCTGAAAAGAACATAACAAGCGAAAATTCTAAATAGAAAAGTAAACTAAGATAAAATATGAGCTTCGTAACTTTTAAGCAATTTGAGAATAGGAAATCATGAAAAGGACGATGCACAATATCATTTCGAATTAAAATTAAACAAATATTTTCTTCACCTTCTATTTGAACATCTTATAATAGCAATATAATATATGTTCATAATGTCAGTAAGTGTATAAATTATGACTTCATGCTAGAGGGAAGAAACATGACATACAGAATAAAATAATAAATATAGTACCTTTCTCATGAACGACGAGCAAGTTAAAACTTCTAATTTACCCTCAATAAATAAAGAAAATAATGCCTTACCGAACTCAGCATTGACCCATTGATTAAGCCGGTGACCTAATAGAGTCATTGTGCAGTTGAGTGTCACAACTATGAATTGAACACTATAAATGTAAAGGCTTGGATGTTATTATTTTTGAAGAATGATTTCTGCTGTGTTTTCTTGATCTCTCTTGAAACTACAAGTCTTACTTTTGATGCTGGCTTGTTTTGGAGTTAATGAACGGTGTTGATGCAGAATGGGATAGTGAGAGTACAGAGAGATTGTCGGAAGAATTCAATATTGTTCAACTTTTCAATAATCAGTAGTCTGCATAATTAGAAAATCCTACTCCTATTTATTCTGAATTCCATAATAAAAATGGAAAATTACCAGACCAATAATAATGGCTTATTTCCTAATTTTAACCTGATAGTTATGAAAAATAAATAAATCTAAACACAATCAAATAAATTAAAACCAATCAAAATATAATTCTATACTTGTGCCTAGAAATAAATGTTTGATGTATGGCAAGTCCTTTAAGAATATCCATGTTAGTATCTTCATCATGGGGTCAGTCTTGGAAATTTGATCGGCAGTGGTTAGTGATGGACCGAGCGGCAAACGATCAAAGTTAATTGGTTGTTTTGGTGTTATATAATAGCGGTGTTATTTATAGGTGCTGGTCTGCAGTATGTATTAAAGGTGCAGGGGATGCTATCACGAGGGAAGTTCGATGACTGAGGTGAGGTGAAATGGAAGTGTCTAGATCCTAGATCTGAGATAAGGAAACAAATGAAAGGTCGCTTTGAATAGTTTTTGCGACAATTTTATTGCTGCATTAGGTCTTCAAGCTTGTCGTTGAAGGACTAAGCTGCAATAATGATCCAAGATGATGAATTATAAACAGAATGGGTTAATGCTGCAGTGAGGATTGCTATGGTGAGGGGAGTTCAATGACTGAGGTGGGAGGTGGAATGGAAGTGGTTAGCTCTCAGATCTGAGATGGGGAAACAAATGAATGGTTACTTCGAATAGGTTTTTTCAACAATTTTGGTGCTGCTTCAGGTCTTCAAGCTTGTTTATGTAATGGCAGTGGTGGCACAAACCCGTCATGATGAAGATCATGGATTGAAATTATAGAGATTGAGAGGAAGAAGATAGGGTTTCCTTTTGCAGTTGGGTCATGTCTTTACAATGTCAATATTTATTATGAAGATTCTGCACAAGGTAAAAAAATGACAATAGCAGTTGCAGTTAGCTTGGTGGGAGTATGAATTTTTCATCTTTGGAGATAAAGATTGGTGGTTCTTTTTCTCTCTCTCTTTTTTTTTTTTTTTGATTTTTTGGTCTTTTTATGCAAAGGGTAGAGGGTTTATGAATTGTTTTGGAATTTTTTTTTTAATTCCATCTCAACACTGAGGGGAGGACAATGTTATTTTCAGAACCTTCGTTTGTCTACCTTCAATTGACCCTCAGGGAGGTGCATGTATCTTTTTTCTTTTATGCATTCTTAATCTCTATTGACGGAATCCAAATCTGTACGTTCCCCCTTTTTTTGTTAATCTTGTGAACGCATTAACAGTATTGATATTACTCTTCTTGTTTGGAGTTTCTAGACCATGAAGAGATTGAATGTGCCGGTTTTTCTTGTGTCTGTCGTTAATAATTTAGTTGTCAATGTTATTTGTTGTGTTCTTATGGATGGCAGTTTCTATGGCCTTTCATCTTATTTAAATAGACCTATCTTTTACCTGCTTATTCTTTGTTTTATTTTCTTGGTTGGCTGGCTCTGTTGTTTTAAAAACGACTACAAATCAGCTGTGTATGTTGGTTTATGTTATTCTATCGCTTGTTATCTTTTTGTGGCTACAATGAACTCTTTCATTTTGATGCATTTGTTCTCTTTATACTATGGATTATTTTATGCAGGTTGAATTGGAAAGATTGCGTCTTCTATGTGAAAGAATTGTCAAACGAGAGAAATTGAAAGTGAGCCTCCACCTTGATTGTCTTCCCCCATACTGATCTTTTGTCTTGTCTTTCTAGTTTTCCTTCCAACAGAAGTATATCACTGGTGCTGCTATGTTTTTGTGTATAAGATGTGCCAATTTGGCCTTTTTGGTGGTTCTGTCACTGTCACATGATCATTTTCTTCTGTTCTCTGCTTGCAGCGTGAATTGGCTCTTTGTTCTCATGGTATTCTTGCTTCAAGTCGAGACACTGTTCTGTCTGCTTTGGCTCGTCATCCTTTTTATCAACCTGATGTTAGTTCAGAATCTGCTACAACCTCAATCAAGGGTTATACCACCGATGACTACAAACCAGGAAGTGAAATAGTGCAAATAGCAGATGACATGACAGTAGATAGCACTACTTCAGGTAAAAGGCGAGTTAAGCTTTCCATGTTCACGGACAATGACGGAAAAACAGATGACAGTTCTACATCCCAAAACCTTTCGACGCCAAAGCCTATTGAGAGGATTTCATTTTCTGGGAAGCAAATTCCGCAGAGACTTTCTGTTGCATCAAGGAATGTTTCGGATGACACGGAAAAGCGTTCAAAATATAGAAAAGTAAGTGTTTGTTTGTGAGGGGGTTGTGATTTGAGTTTTCTCTTCTTTCTTTTAAGCATCATAGTCAATTGCTAGTACTTTAAATAATGCAGCATACTGAAACTTTGGCAAAAGAGTTGGTGATGACATCAGATCAAGCATCTATGAAGAATCAGCGGCTACCTAAAGGATTTGTTTATGTTCCAATTCGGTCCCTTCCTAAGGACAAGGAGACAACTCCAGATTTGAGTTCGCAGGAACCAGTTGAACAAAATGGATAGCTCGATTCTTTGAAATCCCAGATGCATTTCTGGATGTTGGGAAATTCCCATTGTGGAATGTTCTCTTTCTTGGCACTAACATGTACTGTGCTCGAGAATGGCTGGCCTCCCTCGTCTTGACGGGGAATGTTGTACATGCGTTGTCTGAGGACGTACACTGTACAGTGGGTTAGGGAAGTATTGCCATTGCATGTATCTCAATTTGCTCTAGTTAGGTTGCTTTTTACCGAAATTTTTGTTTCTTTATTTTCCTTGCTGGAAAAGGCAATTGAAGCTATGCTTGTAATTGTATAAATCTGTGGGAAGGTATTGCCGTGCTGCTTCAGGTCTTCAAGCTTGTTTATGTAATGGCAGTGGTGGCACAAACCCGTCATGATGAAGATCATGGATTGAAATTATGGAGATTGAGAGGAAGAAGATAGGGTTTCCTTTTGCAATTGGGTCATGTCTTTACAATGTCAATATTTATTATGAAGATTCTGCACAAGGTAAAAAAATGACAATAGCAGTTGCAGTTAGCTTGGTGGGAGTATGAATTTTTCATCTTTGGAGATAAAGATTGGTGGTTCTTTTTCTCTCTCTCTTTTTTTTTTTTTTTGATTTTTTGGTCTTTTTATGCAAAGGGTAGAGGGTTTATGAATTGTTTTGGAATTTTTTTTTTAATTCCATCTCAACACTGAGGGGAGGACAATGTTATTTTCAGAACCTTCGTTTGTCTACCTTCAATTGACCCTCAGGGAGGTGCATGTATCTTTTTTCTTTTATGCATTCTTAATCTCTATTGACGGAATCCAAATCTGTACGTTCCCCCTTTTTTTGTTAATCTTGTGAACGCATTAACAGTATTGATATTACTCTTCTTGTTTGGAGTTTCTAGACCATGAAGAGATTGAATGTGCCGGTTTTTCTTGTGTCTGTCGTTAATAATTTAGTTGTCAATGTTATTTGTTGTGTTCTTATGGATGGCAGTTTCTATGGCCTTTCATCTTATTTAAATAGACCTATCTTTTACCTGCTTATTCTTTGTTTTATTTTCTTGGTTGGCTGGCTCTGTTGTTTTAAAAACGACTACAAATCAGCTGTGTATGTTGGTTTATGTTATTCTATCGCTTGTTATCTTTTTGTGGCTACAATGAACTCTTTCATTTTGATGCATTTGTTCTCTTTATACTATGGATTATTTTATGCAGGTTGAATTGGAAAGATTGCGTCTTCTATGTGAAAGAATTGTCAAACGAGAGAAATTGAAAGTGAGCCTCCACCTTGATTGTCTTCCCCCATACTGATCTTTTGTCTTGTCTTTCTAGTTTTCCTTCCAACAGAAGTATATCACTGGTGCTGCTATGTTTTTGTGTATAAGATGTGCCAATTTGGCCTTTTTGGTGGTTCTGTCACTGTCACATGATCATTTTCTTCTGTTCTCTGCTTGCAGCGTGAATTGGCTCTTTGTTCTCATGGTATTCTTGCTTCAAGTCGAGACACTGTTCTGTCTGCTTTGGCTCGTCATCCTTTTTATCAACCTGATGTTAGTTCAGAATCTGCTACAACCTCAATCAAGGGTTATACCACCGATGACTACAAACCAGGAAGTGAAATAGTGCAAATAGCAGATGACATGACAGTAGATAGCACTACTTCAGGTAAAAGGCGAGTTAAGCTTTCCATGTTCACGGACAATGACGGAAAAACAGATGACAGTTCTACATCCCAAAACCTTTCGACGCCAAAGCCTATTGAGAGGATTTCATTTTCTGGGAAGCAAATTCCGCAGAGACTTTCTGTTGCATCAAGGAATGTTTCGGATGACACGGAAAAGCGTTCAAAATATAGAAAAGTAAGTGTTTGTTTGTGAGGGGGTTGTGATTTGAGTTTTCTCTTCTTTCTTTTAAGCATCATAGTCAATTGCTAGTACTTTAAATAATGCAGCATACTGAAACTTTGGCAAAAGAGTTGGTGATGACATCAGATCAAGCATCTATGAAGAATCAGCGGCTACCTAAAGGATTTGTTTATGTTCCAATTCGGTCCCTTCCTAAGGACAAGGAGACAACTCCAGATTTGAGTTCGCAGGAACCAGTTGAACAAAATGGATAGCTCGATTCTTTGAAATCCCAGATGCATTTCTGGATGTTGGGAAATTCCCATTGTGGAATGTTCTCTTTCTTGGCACTAACATGTACTGTGCTCGAGAATGGCTGGCCTCCCTCGTCTTGACGGGGAATGTTGTACATGCGTTGTCTGAGGACGTACACTGTACAGTGGGTTAGGGAAGTATTGCCATTGCATGCATCTCAATTTGCTCTAGTTAGGTTGCTTTTTACCGAAATTTTTGTTTCTTTATTTTCCTTGCTGGAAAAGGCAATTGAAGCTATGCTTGTAATTGTATAAATCTGTGGGAAGGTATTGCCGCCTCCCGGGCTTTGTAAAGTCAGTGTAAATATGAACTTATATGTCAACATTTGAAAAGAATTGGCTCAGCAGAAAATTGATGGTAGAGTAAACATCATTGTTAGCCGTTTGTCAATCAATCTTCAAAAATTATATTTACAATTGACACATTCTTACAATAAATTATTTTTCACATGAATTTAAAATTTTTTCATATTATTTAATGACACATGTTCCAAGGAATCACTATTTAAAAACTTATTTTCCCAAAATATTTCATTTTAAGAACATTTTTCTGCTTTGTTTCATTGTACGATGGTGTAATTTATTTCACGAACTACCAAAATTGTGAATTTTTTGCCTTGAAATTATTTACAAATCTTTTTAGAAACAAGTTTGGACAAAAAGAAAAGAAATTTCACTTCAAATGAACATTCTTTCCAAATGCTTCGTGGCCCATTTAGGAGGGTTTACACATTTGCTTTTGTTTATTGTTTGTATAAGAGTATTTTTGAAGACTTTGGTGGGGTGGTATATCACCCCAAGTCTTGAGGTGGTCACCTCATGAAGGTGGACCACCCGATGAGGTGGTGATCCCTCATTCTACGGTCGCATCACGTAGCTCCCATGAGAGGTACTCTTGCCTCTTGAAAATTGCTACTACAATTTACCAAACATTGATTCATCATAAATGCTAGAAATCGGTAAATGCTCGAAACCATATAAAAATGTGTTAAATCTACCCATGGCCAATATACTATATATTTAGTGTCATTATGACCATCAAAATTGATTTTGATTCATCGTGATCATTGCACTTTATATTTAGTTTAACGTTGAACATATTTTTGAACATATTCTTGCATTGAATATGTGGCATAATGATAGTAGTTATTGAGTTATGAGAAACGAGTTCATGTTTGAAGTAAAAAGGGTACGGAGTCAAGTTTATAATAAAAAAATTTGAATATTTTAACTCAATGAACAGAGAACACTTCTTTCTCGAATGTAGCAAAGCTTAAGAATCTCAGAAAATGCATCTGAAGTAAATTCTCAATAATTTTTAGGGTACGTTTTATAAATCAAAACTTTCAAAATAAACGTTCTTGTCAACTCGTGTAACTTTTTAAAAAGCTACGACTAATAAGAGAGCACGTTATAATCCTTCATCTTGACCATACCAAATACTATTTATGTTGGGACATTATTTCGATATTATGAGATAGAGTAATGTTATTTATAGTTGTTTATTGCGGTGGTCGTCCCGCTCGTCATCCTACATGGTGGATTGTGATTTAATGTATTAATATGATAATTTTTTAGTCTTATATATCAAATCACTAATCATTACATATATTCTACGTAGGACGATTGTAATGATGAGTAATTGTAAATAACATTATTCTATTATATGAGGTAAAAGGGGGTAAAAAAAAAAGGAAAGAAAAAACGAAAGTCGCCATATAAGACATCCAGTCTAGTCGCCAATCCAACATGGCACCGCGTTTTCTCCTCAGACGCCTCTTCTTTACCACTACTTTTTCATTTCCCCCAATTCTCTCTCACTAAATTTCCCCAATAATACACACACAGAAGCGCGAATTTCGTAAACCCTTCAACCTTAATCCAACGAACTACAAAACCATGTAATAGAATTCCAACTGGGGAAAAAGAGGTATGAATTTTCTGATGTAACAATATTTTTTTACTTAAAATAAGCTTGGAATTCTTGTTTCAATTCATGGATTTGACTCTCAATCATCACAATGCATCGCATACCAAAAATCTTCATACGTAGTTCTGAGCGTCGCAAAACCCGCTCGAAATCTCGCTCCAGTTCTAGCTCAAGTTCCACTCCAAGCCGCTTAGCTGCGAAGCCGATTCCGAGACTCGAGCGGCTTAACGCTGTGAAAAACATTGACTATGAATACATTCCGTCAACTCCCTGGACTTCAGAATTATCGGCATCGTGTTCGTCTGAGGAATCTTTACGAGGGCGGTCGCGGGATTTCTACGGCGGCCAAACGAGCTTACGAATCGAAGGGATTGATGGGCAGTTCGAATTTATCTGTGAAACGCTGGGATTTTCTGGAATTGAGGATTTTGGGATACCTCTTGCAGAATACGAGGCTATGAAGGTCAGATCCTCTGATGCTCCTTGTCTAATTGGTCAGAAAATTGAGGATAGTAATGGTAGTGTTCTTGAAATTTCCGGCGGTGGTGGTACTTTGAATTTAAGGAATAAGAAAACCGAGGACAGTATTAGTAATGTAATTGATATTTCAGTTCCCAGTTGTAATAAGGTTGTTGAGGTAATTAATCACAAAATCGAGTGTAATGATTTCGAGGATTTAAGATTTTCGAATAGCAGTAATGGTAGTAATCTTAGTATTATTAGCAGAGGTGATGATGATGGTCTATGTGAACTATCAAAGAGGCTAGAGAATAGTGCAAGAATAAGTAATCTAGTTTACAGCAATAATGCAAGTGTTAATTTGGGGGAAATATGTAGAAATGGTATTAAGGGTGTGCGGCCACCAGTTCTGGCACCGCCGCCTTCAATATCATTGCCCGTGATCGATAATGAGTGCTCAACTTGGGATATTTTGAAATCATTAGCACCAGACAGTGATAAAAGCTTTTTGAGGTTTGAAAGAAGGTTTTGTTCAGAGGATGACGAGCAAGAGACTGAAGTAGCTGGTGGGATGAGGGATGACGATGAGGAAAAATTTATGAGGAAGAGAAAGATAATGATGAGAGAGGATATTGGTGTGATATCTGGGTCATGTTCATTTACCACAACTTCAAATGATGATGATTCATCGAGTACGACTACCGAGCCTGCATCCTATGTTTCACCCAATGAGAAGTTTAGCCGCATTATTGTGGACTGGCAGAAAGGGGATCTGTTGGGTCGTGGATCATTTGGGTCTGTTTATGAAGGAATTACCGGGTAAGTGCCACTTCTTTTCACCTTTTTTCCTGGGTGCTAAGTTGCAATGAAATTGTTGAGCATGGACCCGTATTTATAACAACCGGGTTTTGAATTTTATTTCTAAAATTTTGAACTCCTATTTCTTATTTATTTTGACAGCAAAAAATCTATAGAATTGTTCATCAAATAATGAAACTATGGATTCTGTTAATCTGATGTTCTAGTTTTCAGTAAAATTCTAAATTCTTCATCAATTAAGAAAGAAAAGTTTGTAGCTTGAAAGATTTCCTTTCCTTGCAATGGATTGCCCTTCTTCCCGATAAAGGCAGATAAAGAGCCACTCTAGTGGTTCAATAGATTCCAACTGCTGCCAGATAATGGTTGCTTTTAGAGAATTATTTGTTCAGACAACAAATCTTTCAAATGTAATTGTCTACAATGGATTTTTTTCCCCGTTTATTTGTGGTAAAAGACCCAAAGCTTGGTCTTGAAAAAAACTAAAATTTAGATAAAGAACCTTTCAACAACAATCGAGTGAAAAAAAAGTTCATTTATCCTGTAATATCGTTGCACAATTCTCTCTGTTATGAAAGAACACTGTTAAAAAACTTTGCACTTGTTTAGAGTACCACAAATACAGATGAATTCTTTTTGCGATAATATACTAATTTTTTCTTAATATATATACCTGCTTTTTCTGCAGCGATGGATTCTTTTTTGCTGTGAAGGAAGTATCTTTGCTTGACCAAGGGGATGAAGGAAAACAAAGGATCATCCAACTTGAACAGGTTTAGCTGCCAGTGCTTTGTTTAATTGTTCACTTGACTTCTCACCTACTTCTAGATTCATTCTCTCAATGGATCTGATAATTATTTGCTGTAAAACTCTCCACCTTTCCTCCAACTCGTTTCTTTACTATATGTTTTCTTCTTGCCCATTCAGGAAATTGCTCTTCTAAGTCAGTTTGAACATGAGAATATTGTCCAGTATTACGGCACGGAGAAGGTATACCCTTTTTGCAAATTAACTGTACATGTTCTCTATTATAATCATTATATTTTTCAGGTGGAGGGTGGAGGATGAGCATTTCTTGCTTTTAGCGTCTGTTTTCAGCTAATATTTGTTTCTTCAATTTCGGCATCACTGTTACAAGATTCTTTCCTTTTCCTTTTGCAAGATGCTTGGATTTTTATTCGCAGAGATGGTAGAAATTGAAGTACAAGATATAGAGAACTTCTTGTGTTGTCCACTATTTGAAAAATGTTGACAAAATTGAAGCTCACTGAGATGGAATCTTCTACCGAGCTTAACTTTTTCTCTCTTTTTTTCCCCTTCAGTCTTTCAATAACATCTTAATTTTCCTTGAGTATATACACCGTTTCAAAATTTGATTGAATTTTTTTCCTCACATCAAGATTAAAGTGCTGAAAGTCATATTTTTTATTTCGCAGGTTGAATCACATCTTTACATCTTCCTTGAGCTGGTTACTAAAGGATCCCTTCTGAGCCTTTACCAGAAGTATAACCTCCGAGATTCGCAGGTCTCTGCATATACTAGACAGATTTTACATGGCTTGAAGTATTTGCATGACAAAAATGTGGTCCACAGGTGATTGAACCAAACAACTCTGTGCTTCTGGTTTTAGTGATTTATTGCTTTGTTCCAAAAAAATTGGTTATGTTTTAAAAGATATTTATATATTAAATCATAATTTTTTTACCCATTCATGTGTTGTATATTTCAATTGAGTTTTGAGTATTTGCAGAGTTGCAGTTACACTTCTCATTAACCATTCCTTAGGGGCTGAGGATGACTACACATTTGTGTACATCTTGTATTCACTTCAAATCTTCATCAACATCCCATTATTTTTTGATATTTAGGCCCTGTTTGAGCCCCATTATTTTCTCATTAAAATGAAAAATATGACCGTTATCCATCACATCAAGTCACTATATTTGATTTTTTGTCTCTTGTGTGAGACCCATAACGACTATAGTTTTCATTCTTATTTTTATAATAATGTGGCTCAAACGGGGGCTGAAAATTTCTTACAGTCGCTTTTTTTACTTACATCAAGCATATTCACTAGAGATCAACCTGTATTATTTCCTTCTTGTTCTGCAATATTGTAGGAGAATGTAATTTACATAAGATCAATAATCCTATGCATGCGAATCTGTAGCGGTTTTTATAGTATGCATTCTGTTGTCTGGATTAAGAAACTGAAGTAGGATCAACCAATTTGTAGATTCTTTCTCTCACCTTGGTAAGAGTCACCAGCTATGAGCATGTTTTGATAAAACTTAAGAAAGTTACTCTTACAAAAGTAAGGGAACACTCTTCTGTTAAAAAATTCTAAAAAAGTTTTTTATTTTAAAGCTTCAAACATGTCTAGCTGAGCATGGAAGTTTACTTTTTCTGGGGGCTTTGTCCAACATGCTTATATTGTTCCAAGAATAATGCTACTTTGCTAGAAAATATGTGACATAATGGTTGACATAATAAATGTTGGCAAGATATGATTAGTTGAAAAAATTGATTGTATTTCAAACAATCCAGTGATAGGTAACCACATGACATTATGTCAAGTATTATGTCAGCCATTATGTCTATGTAGCATGATTGTTGTTCCAAATTGCTAGTTGATAGTAGTGAAAAAAATTATACCACAAGGTTTTCTAAAATGTTTCACTTCTAAATTTTCTTGACAAGTGATCAAATTATGTCCTTTCATTTAAGCGGTTCATATTGAAATTGGCTAGTATCATATACTTGAAAGTGTTCCTTAAAACAGGTTGTCATTTTGTTTTATATTTTTCAAGCAAGGCTTCTTAGAATTTTATGGTTAATTGAACCGTCTCCAGGAAATTGGAAGCTAATATTACAAAAGCATTTGTCAGAGATTTTTTTATTAGAAAACTAAAATTTGGGGTGAGGACTCTGTTTTTGATTAATAATGTCTGTCTATTCTGGAATACTTTATTTTAGGCTGCACTGTAAACTTAACAGGCAAGAGAACCAAAAAAAGGACGTTAGGTGAGTGGGTGACGAAGAAAGAAAGTTCATTTGATTATCAGTAACATATGCAATTTCAAGCTATCCTTCTCTTTCTCCTCTTCCTCATTCCTTCTCTTTCTCCTTTTCCTCATTCATGCTTTAAAAAAATTAAAGTGCAAATGTTTCGACGTGCTTCATTTATGCCAGCTGATTCTGTAACACTAAGATCTCACTTATTTACCACTCTTGTTTCAGAGATATTAAGTGTGCAAATATATTGGTGGATGCAAATGGCTTGGTGAAACTTGCAGATTTTGGCCTTGCGAAGGTTGCAGTCTCTAATTATCCCATCTTTTTTCTCCTTTTCAAAATAAAAATGCCCTCTTACTTTGCTTGGCAATATTTTACTGCGATTGTTGTTATGACAAATAATTTTGTTAGTTGATTCATTGTGCAGGCCACAAAGTTGAATGATGTGAAGTCTTGCAAGGGGACTCCTTTCTGGATGGCTCCTGAGGTTTACCTTGACCCTCTTTTCTTAACATTTAAGTAGCCTGACTAGTTGATATGTTCATGATACTAACTTGTAACATATGTGCCAAAGGCAGATATGTTCATGATACTAACTTGTAAATTGATTTCTTGGATTCAATTATTTCCCTCTTCCTTTTAATGTGCCAAGGTCAAAGGGAGATGAGATTTTATCTGCAACATTTCCTGTTGTGTTTTGCTCATTATCAATCTATGTTGCTGTAGGTGGTTAAGAGCCTGGGATATGGGCTAGCAGCAGATATATGGAGCCTTGGGTGCACTGTCTTGGAGATGCTAACCCGATGTTTTCCATACTCCATTATGGAACCTGTAAGTAAAGCAGTTTTGTTCTGGATTTCCTTAAAACTAGAGCCCAGAGGCTTGTAGATACTTCTTTGTCATATTAAAGAAAAAATCATAACTTTTGAATCGCTACAGGTCATAATGCTTGCCGATAATTATATAATAAATTTAGCCTACATTTGTTTCATTTTTATAAACTGGCACTTTTATCCGCACTTTTCAAAGACCCACATATACTAGCTATTTATCCACCACTCATATTATCTATTTATAATTTAAACCGTTTATAAACACTTCCTAAACATGTTCTTAGGATTTTTCTTAAACAATCGCTTTCTTTTTTTGTTAGCATATCCATAATTCCTAATAGAAATATATAAACGAAACTTTATTTAGAATTATTCTGGTTAATCTAGAACTGAAAGTACAATCCTTGAATCTCTGAATAGTTTAGGACCGCTTAAAGACTCGGATCATATATAAGATATACTAAACATTGTATTTATATAACTCACAATGATGGTAAAATAATGGAAATATCTGCCTCTTCCTCAAGTAGAAACTTTGTCTGTTCATTCTTACCAGTACTGCGTTGGCTATTTCATTGTCAAAATATCAATATGCTGTCATGTTGAAAGATAGATTATAACAATGAAAGAGATGACAGAAATATGAAGATATCTCCTCATTAATATGATTTTTCTTATGCTATCAGCCAAGGGAATGTAATTTTTGGGAACCAGAAATAGAGATGATATTTAATTTTGTTGGGTGGATATTACTCGGCCCCTGTATGACATACATTAAAAGCATGTTTGAGCCACATTCTAGGAAAAAAATGCATTATTAATGTCAAATCAATGAGAAATATGTGGTTAAAAAATAAGAAAAAGTTTTAGATGTGTGTGTACATTATTTTATTGAAGAATGTATGGTTGAAATGATGTTAAATCACTGTTTAAGAATGTATTTTTTTGAAAATAATGTGGCTCAAACAAGCCCTAAATCAAAACTCTTTCTTCCTCAAATTCATTTTCAGCCACATTTACAAAGTAAATTGTAAACCCAAAATTTTTTCCTACCTTTTAACCACTCATTCTTCAAAAAATCTCTACCCCAAAACTCGTTTTCCCCAAAAAATTCATTAGATGTCAAATAGGGGCTCAAGTAGATAGGTAACTGTACATTGTTGTTTTGGAGCATGACAGTGCATTCTCCCTGATTAACAGATGCAGGCGCTATATAGGATAGGAAGGGGTGAGTTACCACCGATTCCCATTTCTCTTTCCAGCGATGCCCGTGATTTTATCCTTAAATGTCTACAAGTTGATGCAAGTGCACGTCCGACAGCATCTCTGCTCTTGGATCATCCCTTTGTGAAGCGACCACTGCCAGCATCTTTGGGCTCGGCTTCTCCTTACAATTTTGGCCAGCGGATTTAAGAAATTCTTTTGAGGTAATAAAATAAATTAATTATCATTATCTAGTTGCATTGTCCTCTTCTAGTAAAAAGCCAACAGGGAATGCATAAGACCTGAAAGATTCTTTCATTCTTACGCAGATTAATTCTTTTTCCTTCCATGGGCACAAAAAATGAAAAGAGCGAAGGAGGAAAAAAGGAAAAACTAAGTGACCCCAAAAAAATACGGCTAGATGTTCCCCAGACGAGTAATGCCATCTACCATCAGTCATCATCATCATCAGTCTAGGTGGCAGTTTGGCAATTGGACAACGAATCAAGGGCCCGCTATCACTTAGACTATTGATGATCATTACTGATGATATATAGCATTATTCTCCCCAGATAGAGCACTTCATGCACTCCGCTTGGTGACGAATGCTCTTCCACCGGATTCTTTCCTTCCGAGTTCGACTCTCATCCTCTTATTGGACTATCGACTATCTGTCAGTTTCCAGATTCTTATTGTGCATACAGGAGATGTTCAAAACTTTCTTGACTATCTCGGGGAAGGCTCATTTTAAATTTTTTATTTGCTGCTTGTGGAAGAAATTTTTCCTTCCCAAACAGTTACCATGCAATTATTTTCTTGTTTGCTAGGGTGCTGTTTAGTTGTTCAACTTCTTTCCTACGGTTCTGTATTTAGCAATCATCAAATATAAATGTATATAGTCAATCGTCTACTTTGGGATTTGGGATCTTATTAAACGAACATGATGATATATCTTTTTTTCACGGCAAGTTCAAAAGTGTTGTCTACTTCTCCTGTTTATACATCTTCCATGCCCCTTATCCTAATCTAGAGTTTTCCCCAAAAAATTCATTAGATGTCAAATAGGGGCTCAAGTAGATAGGTAACTGTACATTGTTGTTTTGGAGCATGACAGTGCATTCTCCCTGATTAACAGATGCAGGCGCTATATAGGATAGGAAGGGGTGAGTTACCACCGATTCCCATTTCTCTTTCCAGCGATGCACGTGATTTTATCCTTAAATGTCTACAAGTTGATGCAAGTGCACGTCCGACAGCATCTCTGCTCTTGGATCATCCCTTTGTGAAGCGACCACTGCCAGCATCTTTGGGCTCGGCTTCTCCTTACAATTTTGGCCAGCGGATTTAAGAAATTCTTTTGAGGTAATAAAATAAATTAATTATCATTATCTAGTTGCATTGTCCTCTTCTAGTAAAAAGCCAACAGGGAATGCATAAGACCTGAAAGATTCTTTCATTCTTACGCAGATTAATTCTTTTTCCTTCCATGGGCACAAAAAATGAAAAGAGCGAAGGAGGAAAAAAGGAAAAACTAAGTGACCCCAAAAAAATACGGCTAGATGTTCCCCAGACGAGTAATGCCATCTACCATCAGTCATCATCATCATCAGTCTAGGTGGCAGTTTGGCAATTGGACAACGAATCAAGGGCCCGCTATCACTTAGACTATTGATGATCATTACTGATGATATATAGCATTATTCTCCCCAGATAGAGCACTTCATGCACTCCGCTTGGTGACGAATGCTCTTCCACCGGATTCTTTCCTTCCGAGTTCGACTCTCATCCTCTTATTGGACTATCGACTATCTGTCAGTTTCCAGATTCTTATTGTGCATACAGGAGATGTTCAAAACTTTCTTGACTATCTCGGGGAAGGCTCATTTTAAATTTTTTATTTGCTGCTTGTGGAAGAAATTTTTCCTTCCCAAACAGTTACCATGCAATTATTTTCTTGTTTGCTAGGGTGCTGTTTAGTTGTTCAACTTCTTTCTTACGGTTCTGTATTTAGCAATCATCAAATATAAATGTATATAGTCAATCGTCTACTTTGGGATTTGGGATCTTATTAAACGAACATGATGATATATCTTTTTCTCACGGCAAGTTCAAAAGTGTTGTCTACTTCACCTGTTTATACATCCTCCATGCCCCTTATCCTAATCTAGAGTGTCATGTCTCTATGGCACGTGACAGTGAGGTTATTGTCACCTTATTCCATTAAGTTGGAATGTACTTTTATTTATCGGATAATGACAATGATTCAATCATCACATAGATCACGTATAGCGATGATGAGAGTAATATTAATATAAAAAAGAAAAAGAAAAGTATTCATGGTAAAGAAAATTCTCAATTTACCCGTTGCTAAATAATGTATTTCATAGTTAAAAAAAAATGTCGTAAGTAATGTTACTGTATAGTATAAGATGTAGAGATGAGTTTAGGCTAAACAATGTGATATTGTAAATAATATTCTTTTAAATGGAAAATAAAGAAAGCTATCCATTTTATTCCACTTCTATAATATACGTCTAGTCTTTATTTGGATAAAAAACATTTGATTGAATTAGAAGTTTAAGTTAATAATTAATTTTTGTTACACGAGTTATGCTACGATGACAAAGGAGTTTGACAAAATTGGATAGCAAAGATGAATCTATACCAATCATTTTAAAAATAAATTTTTAAATCATTTGAAATTAGTGATTTGAATTTCGCCAACACACTTTGTAAAATCACTTTTGTACTCCAACTTTGTTGAAGTAGAATTATTGGCTTTGCAAAGCTACCCAAATAATTTATGAATCTTGCAAATGATTACACACCTCCCGAAAATTCCCGGTGGTGGGAAGGGGGACGCCTCGGCCCACCACGTCGCCATCCTTGTAACAGCCACTGGACTGGAGAAGATAATATCTTCTATGGAACTTCTTAACTTGACTGCAGCAGCCAAGACCTTAAACCTTTCCTAACAACGCGTAAAAAAGGTCGCACAGCACCATTTCCAATTTTTGAGTGTTAAGGTTTAAAAGTTCAAGTACTTATCCAAAAAAAAAAAAAAAGGTTTAAAAGTTCAAGCGGGATTCCGTTTCAATCATTGGAGATTTTTTATTTTGTAAGATTTTTGTTTATATTGATATTGTTGACACACAAAAAGTTCATCCCCAAAATCAAATAGCCCAAAAGAACGACCCAATCAGGCAATGCTGAATAAAGGCCCAAATAGGGAAGCCAATGAATGCGGTAATACCATCGCCCAAGGTTGCAAGTCGCCTAAGATTTGAGCGAATGAATTGCCATGCAGTCGCCCAGAACTGTGAACCTGCTCTCGTCCAAACATTCGAGTCGCCCAACATCTTAGCCAACATAAGATGTTATGGTTACCCAAAAGTGCAGTTAATAAAGCAGTTATTGTGTAGTCCTATCACGTTCCACGATTCAAGGAATTTAATTGAAAATGGTTGAACGACAAAAGTAATGGCAGCAGTTAGAGAAGGTAGTTTCATGACAAGTTGGCCACTACAAGAAAAGTGGGCAGTTATAGAGCGATCAAGCAGTTTTTAAACGGTTGATCACGAAGAGATCATCCAGTGAGTATAAAAGGAAGAAAAGACATAGAGCAAAGGCCCCCGAATCAAACACTCTCAAACAGAGAATATGTAACTTTAAATTTCTTAGTTTAGATTTAAACACTTCTTTTTCAGTAACTCGTGTGCTTGCGCCCCTTGGAGGCATTCTGTTTTTATTTTCCAATTGTAGAGTCATCGCCAATAAAAACACCCCTTTTTGGGACTTTGTCTCAAGAGGTTTGTCCCTTACACAATCGTCTGATCCCTTTTTAATTGTTACCGACTAACTCGCGCGAAACAATTTGGCACGCACGGTGGGATAGTGGTGTTTGGTGTTGAAGATACAAAAGGTGAAATAATATGCCTCAGAGATCCGATAAGGAAGCAGCAAGTCAGGGAGGAGTCCAGTCTGTGATCGAGCGATATGAGGAGCAGCATAGCGGTCCACGAACAGATGGACAGAATTAGAGCAGTAATAGTCGTTACGAATCAATGGCAGAGTTGAGTCCCCGAACTATGCGTGCACTACTTGAAGAACTCACACAAGATGTCGTTGAACAGGTAAATCTTCGAAATATTCATAATATGGAAAGATTTATCCAGAATGGGAATGCACATTATGACAACATGGCCAAACAACTGAATACTTTAAATGAAATAATGAATAAGTTAGTAGGCCAAATTTGTCAACCAGTTATGCCTCTTGCAAACCATTTTCAAATTAGGACAATTGTGGGACATAATCCCCCAGTCCTAAATCCAAGTCAAGGGGTAGAACCACATTTCGGTCCCTCTACTTCGAACCAATGGATGGTGTAATGCCAAATCAGAATAATGGTAGTGGTACGCCTAACTTAGGGGGTAATCCAAATGTAAGAGATAATGTCCTAAATAACGGGCAGAATACCCCACGTGTTATGAGGGAATAAATGTTCAGGCTAATAGTAACAATGGCCCAAATCATGGTAATTTTATTCCTAATCAAGGACCAAATATCAGGCCTCAAGCAAATCAACCGGTCAACCAACCTGTAGGGATTCCATATGACCCCAACGTCATGTTGAGGAATCAGATTATGGAAATCGTACAGGACCAGATGGCTTTTGGGGTACGTTCTATCATTAGGCCGACCTACACAAAGCCATATCCTGATTGGATAGACCAAGCATATCCATGGCCTAGAGGGTATAAAGTGCCAGAATTCTCACTGTTTACCGGTTTAGGGGAGGTGTCTACTCTAGAGCACATAGGACGATTCACACTGCAAAGTGGTGACGTAACTGATTATCATAAAATGAGGCTTTTCCCTAGTTCATTAACAGGAGTAGCTTTCTCCTGGTTCATCAATTTGCCAGCGAATTCTATTCAAACATGGCAATAATTGAAACAATTATTCCACGCTCAGTTTTATAAAACTGAGTCTGAAGTTACTTTGGCCGATTTGGCGAACCTATGTCAAATGCCAAACGAATGGGCAGAAGGTTTCCTCCAAAGATTCAAGACAGCAAGAAGTAAATGTTTTGTACCTCTGCCCGAAAAAGAGTTTGTCAAAATCGCTCAAGGTTGTTTGAGCTTTGATTTAAAAAAGAAATTCCAAGACAAGGAATTTCCTGACCTTTTCTAATTGAGCACGAACGTGATTAGGTATGAATGATTGATAAGAGAAGAAGAGGAGATAAAAAATTCTAGCAAGGGGACTTATTATAGAGACCCAAATTTTGATGTTCATACCATCAATAACGAGTCATATGATCAGACCGAAATGTGTTTGGCCGAATTAGTCAAAGGAAATAAGTATACTTGTCCTATAATGGCTAAGCCTAGACCATTGAGCAAGGATGAGCCTATGAAAGATGAAAACGTAAAAACTAGAACGTTCTCATTCGATGTAACCAAAGCTGACCTTATATTTGATAAATTATATAAGGATAAACAGATAAAGCTGAGCGATAAGCATAAATTGCCAAACCTTGGACAAATTAAGGGTAAAAAATATTGTAAGTGGCATAATGCATGGTCACATTTGACTAACAATTGCTTGGTTTTTCGCCATGTGTTACAGGATGCCATTGAATCAGGACGAATTACGTTCGATGATAAGAAGAAGATGGCAGTGGATGAAAATCCTTTTCCACAGCCACTTGGAGTGAATATGGTGACGTCTGGTTTAAAAAACAAGTTGCCAAAATTCAAATTGGTTATAGATGATGGAGAAGAAGACCCTGGACCACATCCCAGTGTCTCCAAGCGTATTAAAGGGAAGGAGCCAAAAAAGGATGAAGACGTCTTGTGTGTAAGATGTAAAAGAGAAGTGAGTGGGAATACGGAGAAACCCGGGATATGACAGCATCCCCATCGCCCTACTTTCTTCCCAAACACTCAGCCTGGTAGAGGGCGAGGTACATCGTTCTATAAGGGACCGCCTTTTGAGAGGCAGTTCAGGCCAGTAAATAATGGGAGAACATTCAGGCCACAACCTAATCTACCAAATGTATGGCATTCGTTCTAGTATAATACAGGAAAGACGATACCCTTCAACGAGATGACTAGAACCCAACAAAGGCGTTTCCAACGAAATTATGGACGAATGATGAGGCAACAACAGGGAGTGTCACGTCCTAAGGCGCCTAAACTACTCGAGGTACCCAATCAAAATGTTCTCAAAGATAGTGAAGAGACTGGTACAGATGAATCAATAAAAGAGTTGCCAGAAACTTCTTCTGGGAGATCGAAGTTTGAGCGAGACAGAAGGGATGGAGAAGATCTAGATCAGCCCCTTACTATTCAGTTCGGTACGTTACCTCCTGTTGTGGCTAATAACTATTTACTAGCCAATGAGTTCAAGAATAAAGAGAAAGAAGAAGAAGAAAGAGAGGATAACGAAGGAGAAGCATGCGTACTGGAATATGAAGAAGGCCAGACTTCTAGAGAGGCCTACAATGGTGAAGAAGATGATGGTATGACAGACATTGAAGAGGAAATCGACTTAGAAGTGGAAAGAAGAAGGAGAGGAGTATCGTACAATACTCTGTTGAAGCAACTACATCGAGAGGGAGTTCGTGGAGTAGATTTATTGGGAGAATCATCTAGGCGTTCTTTCGATTTTTACGTGCTGTACGGGACGCCCAAAAGGAAGAAGAGAGTGCCTCGCTCTGAAAAGTATGGATCACCTCCAAGAATAATGCTTCCTCCCACAGGTTGGTAACGGACGAGGAAGCATCAGAAAATAGTAAAAAGGAAATTCAGGAGACAGAGGCTCAGTGCGATACGCTACACGTTGACTTATCACAAAAGAATAACTCGGTAGAGAACCAGCAGGAAGTAGAAATAGAAGCTGCCGAAAAGGTTATTTTTAAACGGCCAGCCATGAAATTGACTAAACACTTGAGGCCGTTGTACGTTAAAGCTCTAGTTAACGGCATACCTGTGGCAAAAGTGCTTGTCGATAATGGAGCAGCTATAAACACCATTCCATC